ATACACTTGATTTCCCTCTGGAAAAGCAAAGATTGTTGATAGGTAGCAGACTCATTCAAAAAGTAGGTGGCTTTTCCCTGCTCAGCCTGAGGGATCCCTATTGCCTCTGCCAGTGCCCTCATGGGCAGGCTTTGAACTGGCTACACGTTTCTTTAATATGAACTCTTCACCGTTGTAACTGGGTAGCACTTACATTGTGGGTGTGATATTATGCCTCTCTGTAAACGCAGAAAATAAAGTGATAGCAAGAAGAATATGCAACTAAATTATTTCTTTTTAACTATGTAGCCACTCATTTGGCTAGTGGTTTTATACCTTGGTTGGGTAGTTTTTCCTTGCCAAATGAGAAAATAATTCTTAGCACCAGTAAGAAGCATTAGCAAATGTTTGTACAGTTGCCTACCAATGCAAGAGTGCTAAGTACTACAAGTGAAGCACATCTTAGCACTCAAAGACCTGCATGCTGAATAGTTGACCTAGTGCCCAGACTGGGATGACTACTGACTTCGAAGAGGCTGAATATAGCCTTAAGCCACACCAGAAAAGAAATCCAGTCCAGACACATAAGTAACAGCATGTAAAGCACAACTAAACAGCAATACACACTTTTCAGACAAAGAAACGGAGCTTTCTCTTTTTCAGTACAAAGCAGTTCAGTCAGGCACATTTTCCTCTTCCATAAATTACTGGATGCAAGATGCAAGAGAAAATTCTTCAGTGTAATCATTTGTTTAATCACAACCCATTTTAGCAGGAGTTTTGTGCAAGGGACTCTACAAACACCCTGGAACACATTGTGATGATGCAACACACCCATATGAGTCACTAGGGAAAAGTGAAGCACAGTCATGAGACTTCTGTATTATTTAAGCAGTATCACACCTAAAGGAGTGTGTATACCCAAGTGCTGTTCAGCTCTGATACCCTGGGTGTTCCCACTCTGCTATTAAATGGCCACATTGCAGGACTAGATTACTAGATTGCTTCCTGATTGCCATAACCCAGTGCTCTGTACACAGATGCAGAGGGTGAAATCCGGATCAGTTAAAATGAGTTATCCAATAAAACAAAAAAAAGTAAATAGCAGGCCAGAAAATATTTTGGTAGTGTATTTTCCTGTCCATAATTACAACTTCCATCTTTTTGTAATCACAGGGATCTATTTCCAGTTAACATGGTTTTGCAGTGTGCTTGTGTGAACCAAGAAGCCTGCCTTGAGTCCTAGCAGTGATACTTAGTTATAACTGAGAGAGACAGGCTGGCAAGCGCTTTCCAGAGCCTCACATAGAAAATGAACCGGGAGTGGTGCCATGGCTGAAATGAGCACCACCAGTCACCTGAATCAATCAGGAAACTGAAGCAGAAACTGCTTTTAAATAAGTGGTCAGATTTTCTATATGAATCTTTACTGTTCCCTTTGCAAAAAACCTGCTCAATGATGATTGCATGCACTCAGTTGTGCTTACTGCATGTGTGAATTTGTCTTTGCATGGGGCTTGCTCGCAGAGCTTCAGGCACCAGCACAGTCTGACCTGCTGCCCATGCTCTGCCCGGAGGCTTTCCATGAGCTCAGGGAAGCCCAGCTAAGCCAGACCATGCTGGACCTGCAGAGCCTGCTTGGTAGCAGTGTCGAGGCCCTGCACAGTCTGGGCTCCCTGTACACACATGACTTCAATACCCTTTTTTAAACAACTGGGGAAACTTCCAGCTGGAAGATAACACAGAAAAAACTGAATTTGCTCCTATAGTGGCTGTTTCTGGCATACGGTTTTTAGGCATGTGTGGAACTGTGGGATGGTAATTTCTTGTGGAAAACAGGAGAGCATTTAAATGCACAGGTTCACTTAAATATGATCTTTTAAATCTGAATGTCTTTTGTTATGTATCTGAAAGTATCCTTTTTTTCATAATCCTTGTTTCACTTTTAAGAAAGGGAGTAAGTCACAATCAACAGCACATCTTCAGTATGTGGGTTATATTACATACTCCTCTTCCACAGGCTGAGACTTCAGGACACTGTGCATGTTATTCAGGCTGTCAGCGTGAAGGTGACACCCAGACCATCGCCTTATTTACAGTGACATCTACTGGCAAAAGCAATCTGCAAAGGGCCTCTTTCAGAAAAAAGAACATTTTAGGTCTTCATGCCCTTATCTTCAGCATTTTTCTTCATCTTCACATCTCACCACTCAGTTGTTCACAGTCAGTTCAACGTTTTAGATTATTGAATATAGTTTAGTCTGTTATCATCTTTTCAAACCCAATATCCCTGTCCTCAATCAATCACCCATCTACCTCCAGAGTATATGTCAAAACAGAACAAGATTTTGTATCATCAGCACCATTTGGCACTGCATGTAAAAGTGCTGGGCATCTCCAACATCCAGTAGACACAACTTCTGCTGAGGTAGCATTTTCTTGACATATTTAGTGTGCCACATAACTACCTATTGAATGTAGCTATCACTGACACCATCCACACACCAAAAATCATAGAATCCTAGAATGGTTAGGGCTGGAAGAGACCTTAGAGATCATCTAGTTCCAACCCCCCCACTAATGACAGGGACGCCTCAACAAGTCACTTTTTGGTTGAGTGAAGCCTCTCTGGGCACAGAACCTTGTCTGCAGGCTTCAGGAGGCTTCAGAATCTGCTGTGCTCTAGAGTCATCCTCTAGCTCTTCCTGTATATTTTACAATGTATATGTGTATAGACACACATACAGAACGTATACAGTATATCATGTATATACGGATAAACATATATAGATAAAGAATATATATAGACAGTCCAGTTGCTAAATATTTTAGGAACAATATGTAGGAAGAGTAATTACATTAACACCATCATACTGTGAGTACAGAAGAGAGTATTTCAAAGATTTGCTCAGGATACTTGCTGAAAACACTACACACCATGTTACAGCTTCTCAAATAATGTTAATTAACACACTGTTTTGCTTTGATATTGCCATACATGGTTATGGCTATGTATCAGCCAGTTCAAAAGTAAGTCAGTCAAACAGGATTGCTGCAGCAAACATTTGTGAAGGGCTTTGTTCTGGGCGTTGCTTCTGGTTTTGTTCTTACGGAGTTCCCCTGAACCAGTCATGAAGATGAACTAAACTATTTTGTCAGATTCAAGGTTTCTTTTGGGCTTTGGGCCAACAGGCTGGAAGTTCTTTGGCTAGTCTCTGCAGACATTTTTAATAGATTTCAAAATTAAATGTGTTGTTGAATATCACAGTACCATGACTCTCATATTATCTAGCTTCATCTATTAGTAAGATATTGCTTTTATTTGTAATATTTGCAATGAAATAGGTAACTGAAATACTATTTAAATAATCTTTAGCAATTTTTGGATTGCTGCTGCCATCTGCAGACCTGTGGACACAGCATTCTTTAAGCTATTCATACATAGGTACTTATGCTTTCTGCATAACCATGAGAATTTACAAACGGTATTGAAATATGAGTTTTGATGCCGAGACCATTAGTAATTTCCAGGTAAACTGTTTATTCATGAAATCACAAAATACATAGGAAGCTGGAGTTTAAACAGGGAAAGGGGAAAACAGAAATCAAAAGCAGACTGTCTAGAAAGCACCAAGGATGATGGGGCACCTTTTTTCCCTCAAAACGACCAAAGCATTGTTTTTTAAAACTTTATGTCATTGAGACCATATTTCTGTTCACACAGTTGTAGAAAAGAGAAAACTGGAAGCAAATTGTTGGCATTTATCATGCTGATGCTTTATTCAAAATATTTTCAAATCAGAGACAGTAAAAAAACCTAAATTCACAGAAAATATGTTTCATCCATCACCTGTTGCGTGCAACCTGTACAATTTAAATCCAAAACCTGAAACTGTCAGGAGCATCTACAAATTATTCAAATTTATCTACCCAAGTATGTGAGTGAAATTTGATAAAATAGAAATGACACAGGAATTGACTGTACGGCACATCAGCGCAATCGAGTGCTCTCCTGTTGGAGATGTCTCCTGTCCCCAAATTCTGCTGCACAAGAGAAGCCAACACAGATCACACATGTGAATGTTTCACCACAGTGAAAACTCGTACTTGGCATGAATGATGGAGAGGTTGATGGAAATAGGAAACAAAACATTAATTTAGAAACATTTTTGTTTAAGCACTTTATCGTTATCTCCCCTCTCACGAAGATCACAGACACCCAGAAAAGGCCATCTGTCCACAGAGGAAGAACTTCATGAATAAAAAGTATAGAATTAACAGATTAAGAGATCAAGTCAAGGACCAAATCTATGTTAGGCTAAATCTGTACAAACAATAAGACTTGAAAAACAAGCAGGTTATTTATATGTGCAAAACATTGGTGGAAACATAGTGCTACTGGATTTTTGTAGGATGCTTTATAAGTTAAGGTTTTTATCCTAAGTCTCAAAGAGATGCCAGGAAAAAAGAATCAAAGAAAATTAGCACAGGTAAGAAATTAGAATTAAAAACAAAAATGGATCAAACTCTACTCCACAGCTAAAACCACAAAGCAAGATCAGCCTGTGGGGTGGAACAACAAAATATAACAGTTAGGCCAGAAGGTAGATGGCGTCTCTCTATCAGCAGATTGATAAAGGAGATTGTCACAATGAATTTTTATGCTTCTTATTAGATTATAAAAGAAACAAACTTCCCTAGAGCAGCATTCCTCTGGCATTCCTACCTTTGTGCAGAGGCTGCAACCTGCAGGTGCTCTAAGTCCCTCAATTATTTGAAACTTCTAACATCTGAAGGGTAGGCAAGATTTATCTCTAGCAATCTGCTTCTTCCCTACCTAAAGCTACAAGAATTTCAATCCCAAATTTCCTTTCCATTAAGTTTATTAAAAATGTATTACATATTTCTTTCTATTATGTTACTTTATTAGTATTCCACTTTTTTCAGTGAAACTATTTTAGAATTGAGTATTTGGAAGACTTGAGTTTTTTTCCAGGAATTGATTCCCTGAATTCTTTTAGGTCCCAGTTCATATCTGGAAGGTCAGCAAAGTCGTGGTTGCTGAAGCAACAGAGAGACAAATCTCTGCAGGGGCAGAGAAAGCGCAGGTATGTAGCAAGTGGGTGTGTGGCAGCAAACAGACGCCTGCCTGGTCTTCAGCCCACTGTACTCCAGAAAGACAGACAGCTACTTCCCAGGTTTCTTCTTTGACATAAATAAAATTCCCAGCTGAGTGCACTACTTCCCTCCTGTGCCAAAAGCAGCAGAGCTGACCCCAAGGCTCTACTGCAGTCTGTGTAATTCCGAAAGAAGTTTATGGGTGACCAACCATCCAGCCTTATACGATTCTTGACAGCTACTGTTTTCAGCAAATCCCCTATATGATTTTTGGTCACTGAGCACTCCATTCTTCTTGGTATAAAGGCTCCAAGTGTGTCAGAGGGGAAACAGTTGATTGGAGACCTGCAGCTGGGAGGGGTGATGATGTATCCTAGCATTGTCTGCTCTAGAGTCATCTTAGTACAGCAGAGAGCCCACACTTGAGGTTTAATTCCTGGGAGCACATCACATAGTTTGGTTGAGGTTCAGCACAGCTTGGGCATAGGGTAAGTTAGTGACTGAGGATGCGACCAAGTGCTCAGTGCCAAGACTGGGTCCATGCTCTCACCTTACAGTTGCAGCAGATACCTGGGAAACTGTTCCCAAAGGATTTCAGGCAACTGAGCATTTCTAGTCTTGTTCAGATGCCACCACCAGCTTTAAGCCCAGATGCAGTACCACGCTAGGACAATCTAACGTGAACATCTCCACATTAGGAGAATTACTGTGAATTATGTCTCCTTCTAAAACTTATTCACATAACTCTATAAAAATGGTCAATAGTTCAAAAAGCACTATCAGAAAATTTATGTACAATTGACTGCATGTCTTACCACTGTCTAAGACATTTTACTTGGAATATAAAAAAGATATCTTGTACTACACTGCCAAAAGACAGACTTCAAACAAGGGGTGACAATTTTTTCCAAAACTAGAGCTGCAGGTGCAAGTTATAAAACTGCAGCCTTCTCTGTAAAACTTTAATCTCTTCAATAGAAAATACAAGACACATTCATAAAATCCATTTTTTATTTTGATAAAATCTTTATAAATATCAAAGCACTGGATCAACTCCACTGTATTCAATATGTAAAAAATATGTAAAACTTTTGTCTCTGACATGAAGCAGTAGCCTTATTACTTTCTTTTCTGAGGCAAACAAACTTTATAACCTTCGTGCAATTTGTAAAGATTTTCTTCATGTTCTGCAGCTACTCAGATGACAGGGAAATATATCAGATCCAACACTAAGTCTAAAAAAAGGGTGTGAAAACACACAACACACTCCCGCTCTCTGCATGCACACTTTCTGCATCTCCTCATTCAGAAAGAACCAGTCTGAGGTCTTTCCAGATGAATTCTTCTCCCTATCCCAGAAAACAAAAAGCACCTGCTGGTTTTTCCCCTTTGGTTAGTACTTGTACCTGCTGCCGCTGGCAAATGCCTTTTATGTCTCCCATGGTCTATTTGTGTTCTTTCCTTCAGAAAACATTCAGAAGGCATTGAGAAGCCTTGCAGCAATAGTAGCTATCATCTGGGAAGAAGAAGACAAAAAATCCACCTAACTTAAACTAAGCTAAAATATCTATGTCTCTATGTGTAATTTATTCAGTTATAAGAAGGTATATAAAGTCAATCCTGTTTGTTATTTCCCTCTTATCTGTCCATCTAAGAACAAAACATCTATTGAGACAAGAGGCACATTTTATAAAACCTATAAAAAAGAAAATTCATGGGGAGCAGCCATGGAAGATGAGTTTGGTCAGAATAAGAGGTTGGTGGTTGTCACTGCCCGAGAAACATCTAGCTGCCTCTTTCAGGTAGCACTGGTTTCACTATGTAGTTCTCACTGTCTGAGGGTAAATCTAATCCTATATTAAGCTACATCCTATGGCAAGTTCATTAAAAACAAACAAAAAATTTGGCATAAAAGAAACAATTGTATTCAGATAACAAAAGCTCCTGAGATAAACACAGGCTTAAGTCAATTCCTAAAGACAGAGAGTTCAACACATTGCTATTGAGGGCTGATCTTTTATTAGATATTGACTTGATTCTGTTTTCTTTGGCTTGCTCTAGATGCTATCTTTGGTCTTGGAATGTAAGTGCAACCACCCAAGTTCAGCTATGACAGCAGAACTGCAGCCAGTACCTAGGAGACATGACATACCAGAGTAGTGCTGTGCTCCACGGCAAGCTGGGAAGTAGGCAGCAAGCATCTCACACTGCAGCGTGACACATGCCTAGTACGACACAGTCTGGAGAAACAGCTACTCCTGCCTCATGATTTTAAGTGACAGGAGTCTGATGATGCATGGATATAGTGTTACAGGCCCTTCACCAAATGCAACAGACTGAGTTTAGGCATGAATGAACAGTTCCCTCTATGCCCTTCCACCTTCCAGGTTTCAGGACAATTTCATCAGTATACCTGGTGGAATTCAGGAATACCTAATCCACCTGATATGATCCCACAATATATAAAATCATTACTATCTGCCTTTTTAAAAAAACTCAATCAGTACCTCATTACTGCTGTGAAGCAGTCTGAACAGGATCATAGAAATATCTGTTTTACTTACATGCTGTTAGTCATTACTGCTTTTTGTAAGAAGGTAAGCATGGTATTGCAGAAGTCAGCAATGAAATTATATCAGCCTTGAAATACTTTTTTCTTGAGAATTACAATGTGAAGTCTTATATAGAAGCTAAATGATAATGTTAGAGACCAGAAGAATAATCCCAGAACATCCTTTACTGCCATTAATACCAGGAACCTTGTTCAGTAATCTAGTGGCAAATTCTGGTCAACTCCTTCACTGCACCTGACCCTTATGATAAGCATTGCCCTCTGTACATGCAACGCTAATTCCTCAACGCTCCCAAACCAACGCACTCAAACACAGTCAGACCTGTTAACATTGATGAACCTGCAACAACTCAGGACATACTTCTCTTTTAGAAATGACTGCATGGTAACCAATAATAAACCAAAACCTATTTGTTATAACAACTCACCAAAAAAAATTAAAATCACAAAGTATATTAACTATTAAAATTAATTCAGCCTTTGGTTTCAGAGAGACACTACTCTGGCTTTACTCCTTTAATTTCTTCTGACTTCTCGTCCCTTTAAAGGCTGGGGAGGCCGGTAGTTTCTCAGCAAGCAGCAGGCGACCTCATCCTCAGCAGTGCTCAGGAGGCTGCGGAATTTGGCCAGCTGCAATCAAAAGAGACATAAGGATCATGCTCATACTAATGAAAAAGCATTTAGTAAATATTAAGATCCTTGTCACCTTTCTTCTGTCAGGAAGAATGGAACTGTGTTTTTGTATGGCCTGTGGGGAATGGCTGTTCCACCATTTCTGTTCTTGCAAATGAAACATGGTGACTACCAAGAAAAGCTCCCAAAAGACGTGTTACAATGAAACTGTGCATAAGGATTATCTGTTGCCTATATTCACATTTTGTCTTCCATAATCTGATCCAAACCAGGACTTAAAATATTTTTAGTTTGATTTTTTAGTTTGGAGATGCTGGAATGTTTCCTGCCAAAAATTAGATTTCTTATGTGCACCTGTGTACATCTTCTTGTTCAAAGAGAACATTCACAATTAACCTGGAATAGTAGGTGTGGTGCTATATAAACCTTCTGTAATTAGCACTTTTGATATATTAAACATGTACTCAAACCACGAGAGATTCCATTTTTTTTCCCTTGTGAAGACACAGAACAAGCAGTTATTCATACCTCAGTATGAGCTCTTTGCTTAAGCTGATCTCAGCAGAAACCCAGATCAGAACTCCATGTCTAAACCTTGGGAAATCTGAGTCTGACTTCTGACCTGAAGTTCAGTATTTTGTCTAACTTCCAATATCTCCAGTATTTACTATTTCATATACCACTTTACCTCCCTTCTACATTACCAAAGGTGGGACAGCACAAAAATCATTCCATTATAAAAGAATATTTAGTTGTATGGCGCATAGCATCTTAATTGCATAAAGACCAAAAAAGGTCCACGCTACCTTACTTCCCAAATGCTGTGGTACAAAAATCTTAAAGTTTACAGCGTGCCCAGAGTATTAATAACATATTGCAGGTGACGTACTTATCAACATTCAGTATTAGAAGCTATAATCTGAGGTACTTCAGTCTCCAGTGGGAAAAACTCTTTATACTAAGATGATCAACCCACTGGGTGTCACTGTTGCAACATTAGTATATAGCATGAAGCTTAATTTAGCAAGAGGTGTAAGTAGACTCTTTTATGTGGTATCATACTTTTCCTAAGATAACCTAACATAAAAACCAACTTATTATAATTGTATTTGCTTTTCATTATTCTAGTAAACTCACCAAATTTTACACATCTGGAATGCAAGAAGAAATTTACAATTGATCTGACAAATAAAACTGCCAGAGAAGAGGTTTGAGCAGGACACGCAAATAATCTAATTGAGTGGAATTCCAGGATTTCTAAGTGTCACCAAAACCCTTTTTTTTTGTAACTTCCTTGTGGGTTATTTTTGATTGTTAATTTTTAGAGTATGCATATTCTTTTTGAAAAATGGATAATAAATAGCTGTTAGGCAAACAAAGGCAACAAGAAGTCAGGATAAATTTGACAGACACATTTTGTCCTTTGAAAATCTGACAAGGTATGCAATGCCAAGGTCTGCAAAAAAAATATATTTTTGGGTGGCATTTAAAATTTCGAGTCTTACAAAAGCAACATTTCTATAGCAGTGAAAAATCAAAAACTACCTGTTCAGAACAAACACTTATGGGCTCTCTCAGAACGATCCAGATGACACTCTCCAGAAGAGGTGGAACAGTGAGAGAGCCAAAGTAAGTCCAGTAGTCCAGGGACTTGGGAAGCAGACAGCTAGGATTGAAGTTTGTGAATAGTGCTCTTTTACCCTGGAAAGAAAAAAACAAAACAAAACAAAACAAAACAAAAAAACTAAACAAACCTCATGGTGGTTCTATATTATATATATTTAGAAAACTATTTTTTTGCACTAAATTAAAAAAAAATAGCAATATTATTTAAAAGCAAGAGGCGAAGATAAATCATGCCAAAGGAGGCAGGACTTGTTCCACTATGAAGTGGGCTGACAACATCCTGGATGATCACAGCAATGAGCCAGCACACTTCTGATGAGGTCTTACCTCTGTGAGAGCTTTGCTGCCAGCAAGGACGCCATCAAAGGCATCATGTTAGCACAGGCTCCCCATAGTTACATATGGCCATGGGATGGAGGTTGCAGGGAGAGGCGAGATGGCAGACTTATGGGGCTGGCGGAGGAACCCAGCAGGTCCCTTGTCCTGCCACCTGCTCCCCTCTCTGTTCATTCCCCCCTGGCCCACAGGTTACTACTTCTCCCTGTTCAGGCTACCAGGCTAGAGATGCCTGTACAAAATGTGATGCTGTGAGTCTAGCTGATTTCTCTCACACAAACAATAACTTATTTCTCACCCTGTAACTCAGCAAAACAAGGGAGGAAACCTTTCCCTCATATTTTTCACCACTTTCCATAAAGTATGTTCTTCCCTGTTACTATTCTCATAGCAACAGATTTGTCAGAGATTCAGTGCTGTGACCAATTAGCCTTTTCTTATGATCTCTTATTGTGTAAAAATTATTCTTTATCTGCTCAGTTTTCAACTTTACCTAACAAGAATGCTCCTAAAGTATCCCAAATCAGAGTTAGATATGGATAGCTGTGAAACCAAGGACTAGAGAACATGAAGGTGAAGGGAGTAGGAGCCAGGTTACAAAAAAACCCAAAACAACAAAAGCAACCACCAGTATTAGTATTCTTTTAGAAGCATTCATTCACCTTGATTCTGATGGTGTCCAAGCGGTCAGTAATCTTCTTCAGCTGAGGGTTGCATTCACCAATCTGTTAGCATGAGGGAAAAAATAATACTTGAGCTCCACAGAAAAACAGCAAAAAATAAATAATCAAAATGCAAATGCATAAAGCAACTGTTTTATGTAACGGTTATTTAAGTGACTGTGAGATCTGATGTATTTTGTGAGTACGAGCCTGTGACAAGCTGGTCCTTAAAAACAGTACTAGTCATAAAGAAGATCCACTTCCTTGCTGATGGTATTTATCCTGGCTACTTGTGGTAATTATTTCAGCTACAAAAGACCCACAGACTTTACACTGGAGGTGAATAAAAGTGATTTATTTTTCATGTTTTATATGCAAGATGTTAAAAGTTGCAGGCTTACATCTGAAAATTAAATTGCTTAAAATGGTGAAAACATCTTTCTTGTGTATCCCAAGCAGAATTTGTGTGCTAGGAAATCCAATTAAACTTTCCTTCAGTCATTACAATGTAAATTGGAAAGACAGAATTACTGAAGCAGTTCTTTGGAACTGCTGCATGTAATGGCTCACTGACTGTGCCAGTGCCAGCACCAGCACTAGCTGTGCTTGGGAAGCTGTGTCGGCCAGGCAGAAACTATAGACTTGACCAAAGCTCTATGATTTGTCAAGAATTGGGTGAATTATCCATCTGTTTTTTCGTACAGAAGTCAATGAAGTGGTTGCAAGAGTTTAATTTCATCTTAGAACAGGTACAGAAGGCAAACAGGTATATAACAAACAGAAGGAAATTCTCCAGTTTCTGGTTTTGGGGTTTTTTTTGTTATTATTTTTCAGAAGAAACTACAAGCTCAGAAACAAACTGTTAAAGAAGCATTCAAACCAAATCAGATTGCCCTCCTAAAGAAATCTGTTTGTCAAGTATAAGTTACTGGGATCCATATAGGGGCAGCTGGATTAAGCTCCACATCTTATGTTGTACAGGAGTGAAGACTAGGCAAACAGAAGAGCCTCACTGTCTTGAAAATCTATTAATCTGATATTTTTTCTTCAAGGGAAAGTAAACAGTACGAAGGAAACAGTATAATTTAATGCCTTTATAAAACAAGTATGTCTTTAGCAATAATGATACCAGCCATCACCATTATCCCTTTGGGCTCACAATGAAGATTCATAAGCAGGGCTGCGGTATTTTTGTCTCACCTTCAGAAATACAGCCATGACTGCTAATCCATCTGACTGACGAGCTGCCTCAACAAAACTGGAATACTTTTCTGCGTTCCAGTGGACCACATGAAGCTGAAAAGCAAGAGACAGACAGCATCAACTCCCGCTGAACTCAAATAATCACAAATTAATACTACAGCCTTACTGGTTTTGATACTTTGCTTCACTTTTTTGTATTCAGAGCCATTCAGCTTTCTAAATGCAATTATTTTTTGAAATTGGTAAACATATAGTTCATGCAAATGGCAAAAAGCCATTTCCAGTGGGATTATTAAAAATTTAGCAGCAATCAACACACTACAGTGCCTGGCAAACTGCCGTTGGGTCCCCAGATTTTGAACAGAGAAGCTAAAACAAGATATCCCATGGTTATATAACTAAAGATTTTAAATCCATTTTTAGTACAGCTGATTTTTAAAAGTGATTGAAAATCATGAGAATGTTATTAGTGGCTCCTCTTTTTTCCTTAATCAGCTAGAAAACGGGCAGAGGAACACACATTAAACTCGTACTGACCCCTTTCCCTTGTTTAGTTTAAGCTGGACAGCAGAATTCCATTTTTTTTTACTTTCCAAATGTCATTTTCTGTGATTACCAGTAGTTAGGCACTTACAAGCAGCTTGATTATCTCAGGTTTGAGCATTTGGGAGCATTTTGAACACGAATTATTCTGGAACAGTGGTAGTTGCTTAAGCAGCTTAAAGACACCACCTAGTCAGGTGGGGAAAGGAAAGGCCCATGGTGTCTACCCCCCTACCACCTCAGTCCCTTCTGCTAGGCCAGGTTTCCTAAATCCTGGCCATGCTCTGCAGTGGAAGCTTATGGATCCTGGGAAGCACCAGGACATCCCAGCCTTGAGCAACAGTCTCACTGCCAAACAAGAGAGCACAAGTACTCACACAGCACTTAAGACTAAGTACTTCACAAACATTAATTACTCTCCAAAGCCCTCACTGGCTTAGTAAATCTTACTACCCATCATTTTTAGATAAGGAAAGAGAGGGTCAGACACAGGGCATGGGATTGGCTTTTCTAAAATTGGTGACCATCTTTTCAGACTTTGAACTTTACTCAAGTGCTGAAAAGCAGCTCCGCTGAATGATTTAAACTGGGATGAAAGCCTGAAAAAAAAGCCTTCCTTTTGGAATACAGCACTTCAAGACCTCTATAGAAAGAGCAATTTAGGAAAGCTAGAACTTGCTTTAAAGGCTTTCTATAAGAAGCAACATAGATGTGTGGTTGAAACAGGCATCTAGGAGTGTGAAGATTTTAACTCTCAATCTCTGCCTAACCTTAATGTGTTTTAATTTTCCATATCTGTAAAACAAATCCTTGGTGTTACAGGGTATAATTAATGCTTGTTAAGCACTTGTGCTGAAACATTACTTCCAGAAAGTAAGGAATCCCACCGAAATCAATAATAATATGTGTATGCTCATGAAGAAACACATGCTGGCTCACAGCTTCAGAGATCCGTGAAGGAAAGTTGCTGAAAATATTATAAATTAAACCCAGAGGAGAACACAGTCCACTAAACCATTTTCAGATGCATTACTATCGTGGAGCTCATAGCACCTGCGCCACTCACTATTGTAAGTTCACAAAAGCTACATTGAACAATGTGCAAACAATTACATTTTTATATACACAAAAAGGAAACAGATACTCTGCTGTCAGAATTGACTTTTATTACGGATTAAAAAAAAAAAAAAAAAAACAAAAAAAAAACCAAACCATCAAAAAAGAACAACAAGCAGAATTCCCACAACTAAATAAAGCCCACTCTCACTCCCTCATAGCTTTGCCACCACCACCCCAAACCAACCCCCCCCCAAAACCAAAAACCCCCAAACAAACTGAGCTTTGAAACACTTTTGGGTACAGCCCCATTCTCAATGGCTTGTGACTTCTCTTTAAGGAATATATGCCGTCTTACCACCGCTCTGTCACTGCAGCTTCTGAAGAGACCTTGATCAGATCATATGTTGTCACAAAGAATGGAGCCATGGATCTCTTTTGCTTCCCGGTGGGCTTAGAGGGCTGAACTTTGCAGTCTTCTTTACCTGTACACTAATTCTTTCTGCGACTCAGTTGATGCTTTTTCTTGAAATCTTACACATCTTCCTCTTGAAAGTGAGCACTGAAACCATCTTCATGTCTCCTTCTGATGTATTTTATTTTGTTTGAACAGTGCTCAGAAGCCTTGATCTTAGTTCTGGGTTTCTTATCCCAAAGCCAAAGGGACATCTAGAGAGCTTCTTGTGGAGGGTTACCCAACCAACAGGTAACAGACAGGTTTTTAGACTGGCTAGAAATTCTGAGATATTTTCTCCTTCCATTTGGTTTCTTAGATGGGAAACATATATATTTTTTCTCAGCTAGAGATTTGGTTTTGGTACTTAATGGGTTTTAAAGGACCTCTATTAATTCTTTATATTCCATCCCACCTGGTTCCTGTGGAAAACATAAGCCTTTAAACACTGCAAATGTCACTTTTCCCCATTAGTGTTAGAAAACTGATTTTTTTTTTTCAGATCACTATGTCTTATAGCATTTCCAGCAAAATCTGATCACATTACTGTGCATACATTTATTTTTTTCTTCTTTAGTATTATGTCTTTTATTTTTCCATTAACACTTATTTTTAAACTCTTTACTTCTTTTTAACCCCAGAACACTCTTCACTGTCTGAACTATGTATTGTTAAAGATCCCAGTCTCATCAAAATACTCCATGTTACTTCCATTTGCAAAGAGGAATCAGATACAGAATACTTTTTACTGTAGGCTATTCAAACACACTGAAGGAGACAGGGCAGGAGCAAATTCTCCATGCCAGGGCAGACAGTGCATTTCTCCCTGGGGTATGCTGCCTCCACTGAAACGCAGTACCTCCACAGACAGTAGACACCCCACAGATCTTAAGATGTAGTTCTCAAAGCCATAACCATCACATTGCTAAATGAACCGCAAAACACAACACTCCCAAGTCTGGCATAAACTTTACTCTGCACTGGCCCCAAATCAAATCATTCTGTGGTTTGTAACTGAAGCTGACTTTGAAAACATTCTCCAAGGAAGACGCAGTGAAAGACAAAGTTTAAAATAACTCTGGAACATTAAATCTTGCTCTTATCAAGCTTTTGTCTTCTGTACTCCTTTTTTAATCCTCTCCAAAGCTTTCAAATAGGTTCTCCTTTGAGAAAGGACCAACATGCAACACTTCAGGAAGACCTCTTGTCTTTTGATAAAATGGGGAGGAGAGTGAAAAGCAGGAAGAGGAAGGGCAACATTATTCTTATAATGGAAAACTAGTCACAAGCTTAGAGGTACAGGTGACTCCAGGTAAAGCCTTACCTCTGCTGCGTACTTCATCCCATCCACCGTGTGCTCGGAGCCAGCTTCATCGCTGGACCCCCAATGGAAGTGGATCTGGCGCAGCCTGTAGGTCCCGCTGAGCGGCCCCCCGGTCAGCACTGGAAACCCAAGCAGAGGAAAAGGCTTCACTGCAGGAACAGGAGCTGCTACCCACATCGTCTAACCTCACACCAAACTTCAGTCTTTGGGCAGTCCCCTACTTTTTCTCAAAAGCTGTCTCAGATGGCTTCCCATTTCTTTGAAGTACTACAGAAACCCTCACTTGTCTGGGATATTACTTTCAAAATTGTATTTATGTGTAGATTAGTGGATTATGGCCCAATAAAAGGTATGTTGTTACCAGCAGGTTTGTCTTGCTATGGTCTGGATATTTCTCAGAAGGTGGGAAACATTTCTATTTTGCAAGTGGTTTCCTCTCTTGAATATATTTAAAATAATAATTGAGAAATTAAGCTAAAAATATAGGTTTTACAAAAAAAGGGGAGGATAAGAAAACATAATGTGAACAGACTTTCTTCTCTTTTTTTGAAATTTGGAGGAAAGTAGGTGGAGCTTAAAAAATTTTCAAGGCTCTTTCCTTCATTTGCAACTAGATCCAGTTACATCAGATTGAAATCTGAGAAAAAGAAGCATTAACATAAATAAAATGAAGCCAACGCTATATATCTGCATTGTACAACTGCAATATTACTGACACTTAATTAGCCATTTATTTCAACTTAATGTACATATGGGTGGGCTTTTCATTGTTTTGTTTTTGCAGGTGCTCATCTTTTGCTAATAAGAGTTGGAACCAAACCATCTCTGCACAGAGACTTGAATGTGAATCACATTCAGAAAGATTTCTTATTCACCGCTAAACAAATCACCCCACTCTCCCGGCTCCGTATCTGCTCCGAGGGTTTGGGAATTAGTCAGGGCTGGTTTACTGGCTCATTATAGAGATTTTAAGAGGAAGGGATGGGAGCTTTAACCAGATGGTTTCTAAATTAAGAGCACTTGGGAGGACAATTGTGATTTTTTTTCTCTTTTCTAGGTTTAGTCCAAAACCTAAACTTTGTTAGGAACAAAATCCCACCAAATAAAGGTAAAAGAAGAATTTCTTAAGTTGCCTATCTGCTAACAGAAGTAGCCTGGCTAATGAAAAGGAACTGGAACTGTTTATCTGTGTGGATATTTGACCTCCTTAAAACTTTGACTGAAAAACATGCTTTTACAGAGCCTATAAACCTAATGAACAAAAGGGATGGGGAAGTGGCACTCCTAAAACATTATCCTTTTTTCAAGGACTGAAAACCTGGACGCAAACGATCCTAGAAATGTGTAAAGATCACTGTTCTAACTGGCTGAGGGAAAACAATTCTGTAGACATGCATCAGCATTCAATGAAATACTTCTGCTGGAAATTGTGGAAAATGGCCTGACGATGTATTTGTGCCACATCATACGGTGATGGTAAAACCCTTCAATTCCAGCAGTAATTAAGGAAGAGGTTAGTCAGAAGCTATTTAAGGCAGCTATCAGTATCTCCAAGTTTGAAAAGAGATGGAAGTAGAGGTCTTTGAAACATCAGCAGCCCAGTTTCAGAGAATGGAGCTAATGTGGTACCAAAGAGGATAAGCAGCCCAGTTTCAGTGTTGGCCAAAATGAAGAAATCCTTCATATGGAAGTCAGTTAATAATGTATTAAAATATACTAATGTATTTAGTACCAATTAATTTGATTTTTTTTTTTCATGAAACCAACATATAGCAGGAGTGCTTACTTCACAAGGGTGCCCCAGAGGCCAAATTTTGGCTCTAGAAAATTCAATATTTTTTTATCAATGACCTGAAAGAAAACAAAAACATTACTGATAAAGTTTGTCAGTGACAAATATTAGGGAAAATAGTGAATAGCTCAGTTTACGGATACAGAAGGATTTGAATTCTTTGATAAGTAAGGCACGATAATGGCCAAAATGTAAAGCCATGTATGTGGACTGAAGAATCTAGTCCATACATAGATGACACAGAGTCTCCTGGAGGAGACTGGGGATTACATTTGTTAATTATCTGATCAACATCTGTCAGTGCTTTGCCATGACATGAACTATATCCTTGGAGATATGGCCTCAGGAAAGCAGTAAGAAGAGGATCACATTACCACTGCTTTGGTACCACTGTAAGCCCACAGAAATAGTATGTTCAGGCCCTGTCACTTCATGGATGGAGTTAGAAAATGGAAGAGGTTCTTGATGTATTCATATTGATATTTAATACTTAAAAAAAAAAAAAAAGGAAAATGAGTTTAAAGGCTGAATTGATCTAACTCACACCAGAGGTTAAGTGTGATTTTGATTTTTTTAATTGTGAGGGTAATTAGCAATTAGAACAACTTACCAAATGCTGTGGTAGGTTCGTCATCGCTGGAAATTTTGAAATCAAGATTGTATGTTTTTCTAAGAGATGTGCTTTAGTTCACCCACGCCTACTAGGCTTGAAGCAGAGATTAATTCTGGGAAGTCCCGTAGCATCTGACACACACGAGGTCAGACCAGATCAGTGACGGTCAGCTGATGGCTTTCAGGCAACATCCAATGTTGCTTGTATCGACAGGAAAATTAAGAATTAAACTAAGACTGTCCAGGAAAGATGCTGTCTCCATCTATGTCTTTCCCTCTTGCCGCTATAAGCTAACAGGTCCTCAGGACTAATGGACAGGGTGATCACAAATTAGTCCTCCTCTGGCTTTGATGCTTGTGAAAGCATCACATGGGCTTGGATCCTCAGCTAAGCCTCACACAACCACAAGAGGATTTTATTTCTTGAAGAATCTGCATTCCTACAGTTTTAAGGAGAGGTGTCCTAGCTTGCCTACCATCCAAGAGAACGTTTTAAAGATGAAGGCACTAACATTACAAAGACTAGGCTAAACCAGAGAACTTCTAAATAAGAATTACTGCTTGTGAAAAGGGAGGCTGCATACTCCTAGGAAAGACTGAGACAATAATACTTTTCAGAAAAGAAAAGGGATCACTTGGGATATATTTCATTTGTTGTGTATTGGCTCTTTCCTGACACAAGAAGTCCAGGTATGGATTGTAAAAAGGGAAAAAATATCTAACCAAACCTGCAGCTAAAGTCAGGTAAGAGACTTGAGCGATTCGGTTGGAATGAACCTGTAATGAGACACAAAGGATTCATCTGCAGTAAGAGAGAGCAGCATTTGAAAAATTGTACATAACACGGTTCAAACAGGGGGGCTGGCACCATCTAGCTGGCTGGGGTGGATCAAGCCATCCCTGTGAAAAGGGAATCCTAGCATTTTCTGAGAAACGCAACCTCAAACTCGTGTCCAAGTATGTTCCCACATTGTGTCATGCTGAAAGACAGGGAAAAATGGAATCTCTCATCCAGAGGAGCAAAGTCTTACTGTTTATGAGCAGTTCATGCCCAGCAGTGAGACATACCCAGACTGCATGTACTCTATTCAGGAAACGGTGGAAGAAGACATGGTGCAACAGGAAAGGAACAAACCTGATTTGTTGACGGTATCATCAAACTCAACGCTGGTGGAGTGCCCATTGTTAAGGATGATTTTAGCAGAAGCCGGATCGTAATTGGGATTTAGAGGACGGAGAGAGGGATCATATTTGGTTTCCTCAGTTTTGATGTCGATGGGTGACTGACGGTCTCCATTAGCGACAGGAAAAACCTCCTTCCAGTGGGCAGGGCCTGCAATGCATTGGAGGAGAAGTCTAAATTGATGGCATTGCCCTGCTTCAAATGAAAGAAGACTCTGCTTGAATTGTTCTTGTTCGAATCTTTTAAATTCAAGAAGGGTGCACCAGAAAAACACAGATTAAAATGTTCAGCTATTTTTGCTGCACCACATTGCAACAGCAAATCACAGGACTGCTTTTGATCTACTTTGCATGGCATATCTAACTGTATTTGGCCTTTGAAGAAGGCCACATGCATTAGGTAGATATTTAATTATTATTAGTTAAGTTAATAATAAATATATAAGTTAATTAATTATTATTAGTTAAGACTCAACTATGCACAAGACATATCCAACAAATGCTCATTCAAATCAAGCATCCTGTATCCAACAGGCACTGTGCCCCAATAAATTTTTGACATGCCATTTTCCGCCTAATAACATGTCTCATTGTGTCTTTAAGGATTACCTCTTATCTATCCCAAATCCCTGCTTTAAGGGGGTTTTTATACTTTAGTAATTGGCTGCAAAAGAACCTGAGAATACATCTTCTACTATGATGTATGCTGAATGAGATGGGGAGATGTCAAGGAAATAAAAAGTCTGAGTGCATGGACTCTCCTGGGGCCCGATGGCAGTGCCTGCAACCTAAGCATCGCTGCAGATCTGATCACCTCCTCCCCACCCATCAACCCTGCAAACCAGATGTCACAACACAAGAGAGAGTTTCACCCTCTAACCATAAAGTCTAGGCACACACATCATACACACACACTAGTATAGTGTTGACAAAATCAGCAAAGAACAAGAACACTCAAGACAGCGGTGTCTGCACAAGGTTTGGATTTCTACCACCTCCTGATGATAAATGAGAGTAGATCTTCCAGACACAGACTTGCATCACCATTAACCAGAGTTAGCTAGAAATTAAAACACTAAAGAAGCTGTTAATCAGTATCAGTGATCTCGAGTTAACCTTCCTTTCTCCATGCAAGCTAAGACAAAAGTCAGCTGAAAAGCATTGTCTCTGTAAATCAACAATATGGATATGAGAAAATGGCAGACTGCATTCTAAAATAGTAAGAGAAGCTTCATTGATCGGATATGTGAGGTGTCTGTTCTTATCCACTAAACATCAGAGAGTCCTCATTAATCATAGAGTCATAGAATGGTTTTGGTTGGAAGGGACCTTGAAGATCATCCAGTTCCAACCCCCCTGCCATGGGCAGGGACACATTAAAAATCTGTCGTTATCTCAACTCACGAAGTTCCACTTTTTTTCCTATCCCTCCCCATTTTACCGGGAGGGGAGTGGGAGGGGGGAGGCGGTGTTGCGACCACGTGGTGGTGGTGGTCCTGACACCGAGACAAACCATTACCCCTTGTCCTCTCACTACACTCCCTGATAAAGAGTGCCTTTCCATCTCTCCTGTAGCCCCCTTCAGGTACTGGAAGGCTGCTATAATGTCTCCCTGCAGCCTTCTCTTCTCCAGGCTGAACAAACCCAACTGTCTCACCCTGTCCTCATATGGGAGGTACTCCAGCCCTCTGATCATCTTCAGGGCCCTCCTCTGGACCCACTCCAACAGATCCATGTCCTTCTTTCGTTGGGGGCCCCAGAGCTGAACACAGTACTCCAGGTGGGATCTGAATATATGTGCCATTGTTGAACCACATATTAATAATAAACAATGCAGAAGGAGGCCACAGAAGAAAAATATATAGGAACAATAAGTTGCTTGGGGAATATGTTCTATAAGGTAAAGACAGCAAACAAGGTTTAAGATGGAAAAGGCAGTAAAATGGAAAAAGGAAAAGGGAAAAGGGAGAAGTCTGCAGGGCTAATGATCTTTCAATATTATACAGAGCATAGCACTTGTTTTTCCTCCAGGCTTATCACGGGTAAGGAGCATCATCAACTAAGAGAGACTGGATATAAGAAAAACTCAAATATGAGCATCAGAATCTGATCTTGTAAAATCTGCATCACTGGAAATCTCATAACTCCCTATACTGAAGGTAACCGATATCAGTCTAAAAATCTTCCTGTTGGTTTGGGTCTTTCTGGATGGCTTAGCACTTAAATAATGACAAAAAAGGATTAAAATGTATTACACAGTGATTAATAGCCTAACATCAAAAGTTGTGAGATAGTTTTCTCTCCTTGACTTCAGCAGAAGTGAACATAGCTCAGAAACTCACAGGTGCTAAAATAACCCAAGCACCCCAGCAGTAAATCAGGGAGGGAAGCGTCCCACAGTGCCGTGGGGAAGCTGCTTGCGCAGACACCTGGGCAGAACCTGACTCTCCTCTGAGCAGCACTGAAAAATGGAAGAGGGACGGAGCAGCTTGTAAAGACCAGCCTAAGACTTAAACTTCAGGCAGAACAAAGGCAAGGGCCTTCAGTCTTGAGTTTTTTAAGAAGTCCTTTTGTTAATGACTTCATTAACTAAACTCATTAAGCAAACCACTTCTAAGGCAGAAGATAAAAATCCTACTGTTCTGAAATATAAAGCTGTTTAAACTTAATTCTTTTCACTTCACAAATGGTCATCAAAGGTATTAAATACTTTAATTACATACAGCTTAGCATATGATGCAATGTTGATTGTGTTTAGATCCTAGTACCTTGTAGTCAGAGATGCAATGTACAGTTTATTAGTTGAAGAAGAACCACTCCATCATTTATACCTAACTAACTGCTGTGACTTAGGATGCTTAGAAAAAGCTTATTACTACTTAATTTTAATGCTTAGGACACTCCTAAGCTGAGGAAAGGCAAAATATAAGCACCTAACAGCAGTGCTTTTTTATCCAGCTGGAGTCAAAGGTGATGAGTGTCATCAAAAGGCTAAACTAACTTCAAGCAAGCCTAGCGGAGACATCACAGAACACAGTTCAGTGGCAGTGAGCCTCTATTCTTGCATAAACAGAGTAGGTACATAAAAGTGAATTCTTTTTTGGACAGTTTGCTATTAGATGCAGAAAGTTTACTAGTTTGCTATAGCCTGACCTTTGCAGGATCACATCTTCATTTATTCCTAAAGAGGATCCACTGCCCAGTTTATCATACACAAAATGTTTAAATTTATGAAGTTAGGTTTGCAAGTAATTTAGTTGTACATTCGGTTACAGTAAGATTAGCTCTAATAAAAAAAAAAACTCATTAAAAAATTTAGTGTACAAAATGAAGTGCTGTTTTTTAAAGCAGACATCAAAATAATGTAACTCTTCTCAGGGAGAAAAAAAATAAGGAATTCACATCCATTTTATTTATAAAACACCTCAATGTTTTAGTTGTAACTAGACCAAGGCACATTTTTGCAGTAAAACACAACGCATGTAAGTAATTTCCATATATTTTATTAAACAAATAGTAAACTGACGGCAATTGATTCTTGATTTGTCTTTTAACTAAGTCAATACCCCCGTTAACTGAGGGGACTGTTTCTGTGAAGGGGCGAGAACATTCCCCTCTTCACAGGAACGCTGAGCACCTAAGAAAAGCATTCAGGATGCCACACTGAAACCTGTTTTCAAGATCTCAGTATTACACCGCCATACATAAGCACCATCAAAAGTGTGAGGCAGGAACAGTGGCAAGAAAGCAAAGGCCAAGGTTTGCATAGGAATAAAATAATACCTCTTTGCATTTCAGAAATATGTGCATCAAAGCAAGGGAGAATGTTTAGTTCTGTGTATACCAGTCAGACTGTGTCCTTACACATAGATATATATGCAGACATGTATGTGCAATATTTGACAGTTTACTTTATGCACAGAATGATTTGTGTTGTGATTATTACTGCTAAGGGGCAAATGAATTTTCCTCCAGTTCGTAAAAACAGTGCTTTTATCCCTGCAAGTAACAAATGCAGAACTCAGAGTGAATCTCTCTTCAGGATGTCAACTTTAACACATGACTGCACCAAATTTAACTAATTTCACTTTGTTGCCACCTCCTTAGTTGCAAAAGCTAATCTTAGTCTCAAGGAAACTATTCAGGGCCATGCAGGGCAATAAAATTTTTCAGGAATCAGAGCAATCTCCTGCATTTGCTGTTCAGCAAAACAAGAAACAAGCAAAACCAATAAAATAAACGCATAAAAAGAGACAAAGTTGAGAAATAAAACTGATGCTAGAGAAGAGCAGTGAAGTGTTGGATATCCACACCTCTCTCCTTTAGTCTCCTGGGAGAGGCGCGGGAAAGGGGATGGACTGATGAGGAGCTACCCACCTCAGCTGCTGGGGGCTCCAAGAAAGGAGGAGAGCAAGAAAGTCAAACTCCACCCTAAATACGTTATCAGCCAGTAAACAGAGTCCTATAGGAGAAATGGGGCCTCAAGCAAGGTCCAAGGCCACTCCGATAGAAATTCTGGTGCCCTCCCCTTCCTCGAAGTTGAGAATAGCAAAGGAGGAGGAACAGCATAAGGGAGGGAAAGTGGGCTTCTTATCTGGACAGTGCAGGTGACGTCCATAGCACTCTTGGAAAACATATGGAGAAACAAATTTGAAAAACAAGACCCATTTACGTCTTCAGGGGAGGGGTAGAGTAGACTGCACAACAGCAGATAACACGCCTAACCACTGCAACATCACTGCGACCCACCACCACACAGTTTTTCAGGAAAAGTATATCCATCCAGAAAAGATTCAACAAAAGGACCAGGAAGGAAAGGTAGTACTTGTGCAAACAGTATTCCAACCTCCAATTAATAATATAAATGAAGCATACTCCTATAGGCACTAGTATATGCAAACATATAGCTTTCTCCCTTTACTGTCATGGTGTTTTACTTCTCTGTGTATTATAATGGACAACATAAGTTATTCCACTTACTTTATCAAAGCTGAGTCTCCAGTTTACAAAAGCACTTTCATTTCTACTTGCACGACTCGTGAGGCAGCCTGCACACAGGAGCAGTGTTTGCATGACTTACAATGCAAAACAGAGGAAAGTCTTTAAGTGTGCTGATGAGCACATCTTGGGACTTCAAAGACTGACAAGATTAAGGAAACCGTGAAACAACTAAAATCCAAAAGCATCTCCTCTTAGGTGCGTAGTTACACATTCAAATGACGGATTATAGTACCCAGTATTTCCCACCGTGTAACAGAAGGAGAACACAGCCGGAGCCAGAGGGGCACTGCCGATGCAGTAGCTCTGATCAGTGTGACCGTCTAATAAACACTCCCTACGTGCACGCAACTGATTAACGAGACGCACAAACACAGCCCCTACAGGGAACGAGTCAGACCCATTTTTCCAACTCAGCGCCAACCCCCGACCCGACTGCGGCGGCGATGCTGCCCGCACGGATACACCTCTCTCAGCAGCCAGCCTTGCCTTATGCCGAGACAAAAACCTGCTCGCTCTCAGGTTGCAAAGCCTCGACAGCATTTCCGCTAATTCAGCTTTCTCATGGGCCCG